ATAACACAGGTACTGCAGCTCCAGAGCTAATTTCACTTTAAGAAAACGTTACTGTTGTATGAGTCAACAAGACTGCTTCCACAGTTGATTATGCTGTGAAAATATTTGCCTTTAAAGATGCAAAATGCTTTTTCACGTCACAGATCATGCACAATGCTACTGCAGGAGAAAAATGGAAGGACACCGTTCTGATTGGGTGTTTTATGTTATTAGCCCTCCCCCTTCGTAAACAGAACAGATGCTTTCAAAAAAGCCAGCTACTGCTATTAGTATTAGTACTGAATATACTGTGAGTGTAAAAAATGCATTTACATGCATGCATTGCACTGTGCAGAGCAATAATCATGACATATGTGTGCCTTTGTGGCCAAGGGGGCCAATGGCATTCTAGGGTGCATTAAAAAGAGCATGGCCAGCAGGTCGAGGGAGGTGATCCTCCCCCTCTACTCTGCCCTGGTAAGGCCTCATCTGGAGTACTGCGTCCAGTTCTGGGCTCCCCAGTACAAAAAAGACAGGGATCTCTTGGAAAGAGTCCAGCGGAGGGCCACGAAGATGGTGAAGGGCCTGGAGCATCTCTCCTATGAAGAAAGGCTGAGTGAACTGGGTCTGTATAGCCTTGAGAAAAGAAGACTGGGAGGGGACCTGATCCAGATCTATAAATATCTGAGGTGTGGGGGGCAGAGTGGTGAGGCCGGACTCTTTTCAGTGGTGAGTGGAGACAGGACAAGGGGAAACGGCTGGAAACTGGAGCATAGGAAGTTCCGCACAAATGTGCGCAAGAACTTCTTTACAGTGAGGGTGACGGAGCACTGAACAGGCTGCCCAGGGAGGTGGTGGAGTCTCCTTCTCTGGAGATATTCAAACCTGCCTGGACACCTACTTGCGTGACCTGGTGTAGGGAACCTGCTTTGGCAGGGGGGTTGGACTCGATGATCTCTGGAGGTCCCTTCCAACCCCTATGATTCTATGATTCTGTGATTCTATGCTATGAAATGGAACAGATTGCCAACACCTAGAGCATCACTGCTAATTTGTCTATATCATTCTTTCAAGAGACAGTTAATCTTGACACCAGATCAACAAGTCTGTCAGTATCTTGTCCATTTCTTTATATAAGATGACCCAGAGGAGGCAGGGCACAGGTGGTAATTATGTTGGGATCATGCTTTTGGGGCTGGTGTCCAGATCATTTGGCAACTAACACAAATGCTTCAGTTGAACTCAGTGTGAAAAAAAAAACCACAAACAGCAGGAGGCATGAGTCCATATTGGTGGTCTGTGCTGTGCAGCAGCATTCCTGCACCCAGAAGGAAGTGGTGATGAAGACAGGACCATCTCTTTTCTGCCTAGTAGAAAGGACTCCAGAGGAGCTTCCTTTTGCTATCCTATTCATTAACAGGACCCAGACCTGTCTTCTTTCCTCAGGAGCACTGCACTGCTTTGCTCAATCTAATTTGATCAGCACTGAATGAAAGAAACCACAGCTGGTTTAGATCTACAGACCTCACGAAGTGTTTGGAAGGCAGACAGAACACTCAGCAAAAAAGCCTGGTGCAGAGAAGAGGGATCCAGAAGCAGCAGCAGTGTTTGGGATGCCTTATTTGGCAAACAGAGTACAGCCTGGGGAGGCTTCAAAGAACAGTCTAAGGGCTGGGGCAATCCCTCCTTCTGCACAGATAATGTCACCTTATGCTGGAAAAAGAAACCTCACTCATTTTGATATCATTAAAGAAAAACCCTCCCGCTACCACTTTAAAGGCAAACTTCCAGGGCGGAAATATCTTAGGCGCTCCTCATAGATTACCAAACTGCACTTTGGGTGATGAAATGCATTGGAAATTTAAGATTTGACATTTTTCCAGTATTTATTGTATCTGCTTTTCTCTGCTGCCACAAGGTTAGGCAATTAAACAAAACAGTTTATCATGGGGTTTCAATCAATTTTCCTCTCAGGTTCTCATGCATGGACATAATGTTGAATTGCTTAGCTTGTAAATACTGCAGGGTAATGTTTATTTGTTTAAAACTGCTTTCATAAAACCTTGGAATGCTTTGTTAACCCTAGATCACTTATGAACAAACAACCATCCTCAGATTATGTCTTCTTTCATATGTATACCATGGTTTAATCCCTTACTTAAAAGCGATTTTATAAAACAGCCACATGATCTTTCAAATGCTTCCACTATTTTTTTTTCTCAGTGACCAACACATAGAGGTCACTTCTCTTTCTCTGCTGTTACCCTCCTATAGAATCCACTTCCTGCTTCCCATTTATTTTTAATACTAACTTTCATCCACACAACTATATTTGTTATGAAAACAAACTTCTATACTGCTGGAAATCAGAAATGGCTCTGAAATTCAGTTCTAGCGGAAGAGCTTCCTGTCACAAAATAGGCACAGATTTAGCAGCAACTACAACTGCACATTGGCTTTGATGTTTTTCTTCTTTAGTGCTTATCTTATTTGTTCTTCGTATTTATTTCATCAAAATGTTCAGTTGTCTCAGAGAGCTGCAGTTATGCCCATGAGGGCTGCATCCATGGCTGGCTTCATCTTGTTCCATGATCAATCATCTAGATCCTAACCATGACTTTGTATGTGTAGGTAAGTATATTCTAGCCATCGTCTTTTAGTCCTAACATATCCTTGTCCACTTCTACTACCTTCTCTTTACACAAGAAGGTTTTGTGAGAAGCAGAGTTCAGAGATACTAGCTTTCTATTGCACACTGTGATGCAAGTTTTAGAAAATCGATAGATGCTACATCTTTCTGCCAGTAGAAACTGGCCAGTGGATTTAAAGCATGAAGCACGCATGAATACAAAGCAAGACTGCATCAGATTAATTCTTGCTAGGAAATCAGTACAAAAGTCTATTTTTTCCAAGCCCCTCAGTTGTCTTGTCTCCTCACAGAGTTGACCCTGGTCTTCTCCCCAGCAGACTGCCCAACGCTTTTTGGGTGTCTATGAAATGAAAGCCTGATGATTATCCCCTTCCTGTCTATAGAATCACCAAGTGGGAAGGAAGACTCCAGTCACCACGTGACACATCTTGAGCTCTGATACTGTGGCGGCCCAAGGGCTGCCAGCTGGCTTCTCTAAGGAGACCAAGATCTGTCACATCAATGTCCCACCTAGTTTTAGAAGGAGGAGCTGAGGAGAGATGGGGCTGGTGCACCATGCTCATCTGCCCCTGTCCTAAAGCTCTGCTATTAACCACATGAGTTAATGAAGCACTGGAAGCTCTTTGCAAGAGCTGCTTCTCTCATAACCCCAGCAAGGACCTAAATGCTCTCTCAGAGTGAGCCTCAATCACTTGCCTCATGTATATATCACCACCACCAGGGCTTAACATCCACTGGCAGAATTGCCAGCACTACTGGAAAGGGATCACCAAATTTACAGGTGACAGTTTCCATTTTTTTTCCCTGATAAAACCATTTGAAGAGCCACTATCCATTATTTAGTGACAGTCTTTCCTGAAGTGCAGTCACTGTGAACAGAGATGGGAAAATACATTCTTTGGTCTTGGATTTCTGTGTCCTCCTCAATTGACTTTGCTCAGAAACCAGGCCTTGCTGTGTCCTACGTTCTTGTACAAATTTGCCTTAATGCAGCTCCAGACATAATGCAGAGAAGGCATCTCAAAAGCAAACAAAGAAATCCTACAGCAAACGTGCTGCTGCTGTGCATGAAGGAAGGCCAAGGGCTGCAGTATTGTTATATGTGGGGGTGTTTTGGTGCTCTCTGCCTTACTCTGTCTCTTGGAAAGATGATTTATTTCCTCCTCAAACTGTTCTGATACCAAGTGGCAGTTACCTGAGTGAGCCTCATTCTTAACCTGTGGGTGGGTAATCAGGGAGGGGGGCAGACCTGCTTTTCCCTTAGCAGAGAGAAGGTTTGCACAGTTGAGCTTTGTTCTGAGCTCAACAAGAGGAGCAGTGCACATGTGGTCTTCATTAGTGACGCTCCTTTGAAATGTCTCCAAGCCCTTGGATTGTAACTCTAGCACACAAAGGGGTGGGGGGAGTGAAGAAAGGAGGAAGGGAAGGAGGAGGACTGAGGCTGCTGGAATCGTCCCTGTGAAATTCAAACAAAGATGGAGATTTTCTTTTAAATTTTTTTCCCCTCACTTTTTTTTTTTTTTATCTGCCAGGCACAGAATTGTTCTTAACCTTCTGAACTGGAAAATACATTTCAGAAGAATCCACTGCTCTTCTGTCAAAGCAAAACCAACATGAATAATCTCTTTTAAATTACAAGCATTAAATGACAGAGGGGAACAGTTATCATTTTGTTGCTCTTTATGCATATGTGCTTGCGTATATGCTTTTGTGGTCGTGTGAAGCCTGTGGGTCTCCAGCAGCCTGGAGTTTAAAAATGCTTTTGAAGGAGTGGTTAGAGCAAGCAGAAGAGTAGGGATTTATCTGGTAAGCTGAAGTAATGGATGTTGATTTCTGCTCATTAGGAACCATGTCACAAAACTGCAGCCTGAACAACACGCATCCTCTGACTGCCTGGCATTTCCTCATGCTTCAAAACTGTATTCCTCTTCTTCCTGGGATAACTAATGAAGAAGGAAGTCATTTGGAAAAAGCCATACCAACTCTGCATATATTATTTTTCTCTGATTGTCCTCATCAAATTGGATTTTATTAGGATTTCAACACTCTTAAATTCACAGATGCACATGCATAGCTTTCTATAACATAAATCAATTAGATATTGATGAAAGCTGAAGAACATTAGGAGAAAAATAACCAACAGCAAATACAAAGCATATCAATTAATCCCAGAGGTGATCTGGTTTCTCCCCTGCTCCCTGTGGGAAATGAGAAAATTTCATGGCACTGACAAAATGACATCCACAGCTCTTTCTTTGGAAGGATGCTGAAGCATCCCTTCGACCCCTAGAGGTTTTGAGACATGCTGATGTGTTCAGCTGGCCAGACATAGATCATGAACCTCTAACCCCACACACATACCTCCTTGCTTGCTACCTCCCCAGGTGGTCCGAATTTCCCAGTAGGTGTTCACATGAGGTGGATGGCAGCTCTGACACACAGGCTGGAGCTGCTTTGTCTGCTTCTGTACACGGCGTGATGTTGCCTGTCCTCCACTCTTCCTTAGACATGGAGCAGAGGGTCTCCAGCACTCTGGCAGAACTGGGCTCTCCACTGTCAACAACAGGGCCCAATGATGACTGTGAAAAGATGTTATGAAATGTCAGAATGTGCCAACAAGTTCAGACCAGTGAATATTACAGGCTATTTCATGCTAAAAAAAATACTTCAATAGCTTTTGTTAAGAGAAAGCTTTCACAGGGTGGATGTTCAGATATGGGAGTCACTTCCCTCAGTTCCTTCTTTCTGTATGTGGTCATAAATTGCAGTAAGATTTTGTTCTCCCTTTCACCCATAAGCTATTATCCAGCAGATGGAAATACTGAAAATTCCCTAACTTTCAGGTGGGCAGATAGTCTGTTAACAAAAAACTGCTCAGAAGAATGGCTCTGGAGTTTTGAATTATGATTATGACTAACAACATATTTTAGGAATTCAGTGCACAAACAGCCTCACTCTAATCTCTCAGCAGGTTCACAGCCAGGCAGCTCTCTCATTTGACAACCAGAGAGACTAGAATCAGGCCCAAGACAGTCATTTTTATACCACTTGGTATCCTAGCAATGGCCACAAAAAGGGAATATGAACCTTTTGTCTCCATACTTCTACAGACACATTTCTTGTGTGTTTATTGCATTCCATTCACAGGTATTTCCAAAAGCCTGGTATCACTCCTGCTTCTGTAGCTCTTTAAATACTCATTCATGGCAGAAAAACAACCCTGAATAACACAGGGCTGGCATTGCCTGCTTCTTATCTCACCTTCTCCAGCCTAATCCTCTTACAATGTCATTGGCTTCAATAGACACATCTCTGATAATGTAAATTGGGGCCACTGTAAATAAGATAAAATCGTACTGTAGCCCATGTTGTTCTAGACATACAAAGCAGAAACAGTGAAAATGCTACATTTTACATTCAGTTAAAGCTAGAAATGCTTTTATTCTAATTAGCCAAAAATATTGGCTCTAGCTAAGTACTAGCTGCCGAACAAGTAAAATGGATCATCATCAATACACGCTTGATTCAGTAAGCATATTACAACAACCCAACAGGTATGATGCTATTTTGTTTTAGAGCAGGTCATGACCACAGACACAACTGCACTATCACTTTGGAGATGTGACACTGGACCACACAGCACTCCTCACTCATTCTTAGTGCCAGGCACACCATACAGAACACTGCTATATGATGGCAGTGATGTTAGAGATCTCACTACCCTAGCATTCAAGCAGACCAGTTCCTACTGCACGTGTGCTTCTGTTTAATATCTGTGCCTACATTGGCAGCCCATGCTGACAAGCTGGAGCCTCCTGACGCAAAGGCAAGGAGTTTCAGAGAGCAAGGAGTGAGAAAAATGTAAAAAATCTGATCGTGAGAAGTAGGAAAATAGTTCCGTATTTAGCCTCCTCTAGAATGAAGATATAACCATATAACCATGATTCCACTTCTGTTGCATTGTAAAATGATCCAAGCAAAACCAAAAATGTGCTTTAAAAATGGCTCCAATTGCAAGACCTCGAAAGCTAAAACTCGTACATCAATCACAAAACTTCACAAAATAAATCTGCCAGCACGCTTTGTTGCAAACTGTACTGTCACCAGACAGCTTCCTTTATTTTTACTGGGTGCAGTGTGCAGACTTTTTGTTTAGATTAGCATGCATCAAGTGATGAATCACGTAGTATTTAAGAAAAGCCTATCTTTCTTGAGATACGTCCACTGTTCTGTTTGTATCAGTATATCTATGATATCATTTCTTCTCCGTGTTATTTTGAATATCTCTGTTGCCTACAGGGACTAGAAATTGCAGATGCAGGCAGAGATTTTTTTGCTGAGTTAAATAAACATTTTCAACCAGTTTGCAGTTTGGTTTCAGTTTTCAAGTTCAAACTGCTTCTCATGTTATATGTCTTCCCATTCTTAACAATAGAGAGTTGCTGTAAACTTCATAAATTTTTTTTTCGATAAGAAGCTTGATCTAAATTTTGGTAATGTGACCACTGTTTTCACGTACCAAACTGAAGGTATGCTATTTTCAAAAAGAAGAGGCTTAACACTTTCTAAAACTCTATCACAACTCAGGCTGGAAGTCTGTCTATTTTTAGTGTTCTACAAATACTGCTTCTTCCTCCTGTAATGGGATTGTTTATAGTGGAAGCATAAAATTACTGCTTTCTCCAGGCATTCGGGAGGCATTATTTGTATTATATGGTTCATGATAATTAGTGTTAATTACTCTGAAATTAAGCATTCTTTATTATGCATTTTGAAATTTACTGAGAAAAAATACTTCATCAGAGGAGCCTGGCATTAATGACAATAACACAGTTCTGCAAATACCAAATAATCATTCAGACCTTGCCGTACCTTCCATGAAAACATGAATAATGTATCTAACCCTTTCAGGTCTTTCTGTATTTTCCGTGTTACTAAGATGGAGGTTTAAGAAGGGAGGAGACAGGCTCTTTAGAAAGGCCTGTTGTGATAGGACAAGGGGAAATGGTTTTAAACTAAAAGAGGGGAGATTTACATTTGTATAAGAAAAGGTTTTTTACAGTAGTGAAGAACTGGCACAGTTTGCCCAGAGAGGTGATGAGTGCCCCATCCCTTGAGACATCCAAGGTCAGTCTGGATGTGGCTCTGAGCACCTGATGGAGCTGTAGGTGTCTCTGCTTATTGCAGGGGAGTTGGACTAGGTAGCTTTTAAGGGATCCTTCCAACTCAAACAATTCTGTGCTTCTACTCATACGGACTTTCTCTGTAGTAAAGCAACTTCAGCTTTTCTAGTGCCTCTTCAGGGGCAATTTCTGGCAGACTGCAAATGTTCCTCTGTTCTGCCTCTAAACCTTCCCTCCTCTTTGCTTTCTGCCACAGGACTGAGCGCAGTGTCAGTGCAGTAGATGTGCTAGTGCTGTCTCCAAAAGCCCTACAGTGTTGACCCATTATAATTTCAGTTGTCTGACTTGTCATATTGAATTCACACAGATTTGAAGGTCTAGATTTTCATTATATCATGGTGTTAACTGAGAGAAAATGAAGCAAATCTCAGGGGAAGGAAAGGTCAATGTGCAAAGGCTTTAACAGAGGTGTGGAAAGGCTGGGCACGTGAAAGCACCTCTCCTCCTCCTCTCTCCCCTCTACCTCTCTGTGGGAGAAGCCAGCCAAACACTCAGACATAAGGCAGAGCCCTACAGCTGCTCCCACAGCTGCTGCCCAGGATGAAGCACTGATGTGCAGGATGATGGGATAGGGAAGCAGGTGCTGAAAGGGGCCCCACAAGATCAGGAGAAGTCCTTTTCTATGATTTTAGGTTTGATTTTCATTTATGTTAAAATGGCCCTTTTGTACCTCAGGCCTAGGATTTGAACAGGATTGGCAGAAGGCAGTTTTTGACATGCATGGCAGAGCTGGATGGAAATACATGTACAGGAAACAGAGCAAACAGGTATGTGGTGAAGCAGAACTAACAGCACAGCTTGTCTTTATAATGTGTTGTCAGTGGTGACTGCTTGTAGGCAGGCACCAAAATATTGTTTTCTATTACTGTTCAGAAACAAATCTGTAACTTTCCTGGTTTAAATTGTTTTTTTTCACATGGTAAAGAATAGTTGGCTCCCGACTGAGATTGTTAACCTGGACGCTAATGCTTTTAACACCTCTACCTGTGAGATTACATAAAGATACGGGCCTGCAAGTATGGCCAGGCTAGGAGAATTCAAGGCTCCCATGTCTGTGATTCTTTTCTGATTATTTATAAGAAATACATGAAGCACAATTTCCTTGAAATCAGAGAAAGTCGATTAGCAAGAGACCATCAATTTCCTCACTGTGCCAAGGCCATTTTTCAGCCAGTGCTTGAATTTCATGAATTTTGGCATCCCTGGACAAGCAAGTGGAGCAGCAGGCTGTGTTGCATTTTCCCATACTATGTAAACATTTAGCTGAATTGCAAATAGTGTTTATACCAATAGCAAGCTGCAAAGTGCAAGACTATGTTGTGATAATTGGAAGATCAGAAGGTAGAGGAACTCTGGCGCTTTGGCCCTCTCAGAATGCTGCTCACACTGCTGGGATGGATATATTGGATTGCTTTTTGCCTCTTTTCTGCGCACTGTTGTGCATTGCAACAAATGAAGCATTGCTTTCTTGATAGTCACGTTTTATTCAATTCATTGCCGCCACTTGACATCTTAGCGTAGCAAAATCAGAAGCTACATTGGATAAGTTAAATATAATACATGAAAAACGCTAATTGGAATGTTTCAGAATTTCCAGTTTTGTAACAGCATTTGCACAAAAAGACCCTTTCCCTGTGCAAGCAACATGTTTACTTACAGCATGTGCATTTGAGTAGAGGATTTCCTTCTTTCCTATTTCTGTCTTTCATTTAAGTTCACCTGAAGGCAAAAAGGCTAAAATATTTGAAAGACACCAATGTTAGTTTTCTTTTAATGAGCTGTGCAGACTTTTTCATGGCACGATCATTTCTATCATACAGAAGTCAAGCTTCCATGAATTCTTAGCTCTTTTAAATGAGATAATGGTTCATCTTTGCAGATAGTGATTTTCTGATCCCTGAGAATTATGTTTATATAAATAATTGAAAATAAAAGCTTCCACAAGTGTTTGTGGTTTGTTGTGGCCCTGCGTTCAGTATCCCATACGTATTACCTTTCCCCAGAATTCTAGTAAATGAGGTCACTTGCCTGAATGCTAGTCAGAAGACCAAGCTGCAAAGAAATGCTGCTTAATATTCACAGAAAGCAGAATTTACATTTGGAATTGATAATATTCACATAACAAACCTGATTCCAGATGTTAAGCCTATGCAGTGGGAAGAAAAAAAAGTGTCACATAACCTCCATACCCAGTCAAATCAACTTTAAATTGGGCTGAAGGGTTGCAACTGAGTGCTTGCAAATGTGAATTCTATTTGGTAAAATGGAATGCAGTTTTTGAATGAGTGAGCAAATTGCAGGCTCTTTGCAGATATGCAAACAGAAACAAAGAGATATAATGCAAGTGAGGATTCATTCGATGATGTAAACTTTTAACAGCAGTTGAGCAGATTACTTAAGAATTCTAAATCTTCATATTGTAATTAATAAAATGTTAATTCCAACTAGAAATGAAATATACTGCTTTGATATAACATACAGGGAGGCAATATAAAATATGCTCAGATTTAGACTAAGATATCTTTCACAAGAAAATATCTATACCAAATTATTGTTTTGATAAAGGCCCAATGTTTGGGTTATTAGAAGGTTCAAATCAAGAGGCTCTGTTCAGACTTAGAAACGTTGAAAGTTTCCAAGTTTTTCAGAGTGATTCTGAGCCCTGACATTTGGTATGCAAGATCAGCAGCTCTGGCTACCTCAAGAGTGTTTTTATAAAAATACATTAGCATTTACTTGAAAACCTAAATGGAAATGCTCTGTGTTAAAGACCCTTTCAAAGGCCCTGAGGGATATAATCCCAGGAAATAAATAAATAAATAAATAAAACCAAACCCAACTAACCCAGTAAACCTTTGTTGAGACTCACAGGGGTTAGATTCAAAACTCTAATGTTTCTATGTTTTAAGTATCAGTTGCCCTCATGCAGTGTGTAGCAGACAGTAAACAGCCAAGATTGCAGTACCAAGGGATTCCCATCTTCAAAACATGCTCCAGGCTATATTGCATCCAATCTTGTACCCAACAAGCAAGGCAATAGCAGTGCTGCATACAGGACAGCCATATATTGGCAGCAAGATTTGGAGCACGTAACAGGAGTTCGGGAGTCACCCACATTGCCAGCAACCTTACAGAAAACGAGCCTGTGCTAGAGGGAGCCTGCTGGGCTATAGCATACTGGTATAGAAAGTCTCTGTTCTCAGAGGCCCCAGAGCCCACCCATTTATGCAGAGTGAATGGAAGACGATGAAGCAAATCATATACAAAGCCAGAATAAAAAACACCACACACACGAAAACATCCAACATGAGAAAGAATTGGAATGTGCTTTGTGTGCCCTTATAATTAGCAAAGAAGGGAGGACAGAATGGAGGGCTGAAACTAGATGATCATTGTGGTCCTTTTCAATCCAGGCCATTCTATGACCCTATAAGAGGTGTAAGTGCCCATGGAATCTAGGAGAAAAGTGTTATGCACAACCTTGTGATAAGGAGATATGGGAAAAATCAAGAAACAGTATCCATATTGCATTGTGGGAGTAAACCAAAGGAAATCAAAAGGAGCAGCAAAAGCAAACTGCATTTCTTCCCTCATGTTCCATTAGGAGAGAAAATCACAGTGACTTTGTGCACACAGAGCATCCTTAATTCTTCTCTGATGTGGTATTCAGTGGACAGACAATGCTGCATCAAGGTGAGTTGGTTTTACATTAGTGAGATTTTGTTTCATTCTGAGAATATGGTGTTCACCATTCATTTTCCAAGGCACTGTGCTGGGACATCGCTTATTTGGCATGTTCTTTCCAAAACAGGAGAAAAACACCTTTTGTCTGAATGATTACTTCTCCTTAGTTACTGTCTATCTGTGGTAACTAGCTAAGAAATAACCTTTTGCTGTGTAGTTAGTTTACAGATAAGGTACAGGAACATTTCTAGTGCACCAACATACAAAGGAGGGGCACTGGAGTGGCCAAAATAGAAAGCAAGAGAAAACACATATCTGCTTCTTTTGACTGTAGTGCTGTTTCATGCCTACTTCAAATGTTTATCAAAAATAGTCTGTATCTTGGGTTGTTTTCTTAGCTGTACAGCATATCTAATGGCTCTGAAGCAGATAAAAGTAACCTCTATCCAGACTGTCTCTCTGTTCCTTTCTTCTCTGCTCTCAGCTACATCACCCCTACATGGGTACTCTTTATTCCAGCTTTGGGACTCACTGGAACTTCCATAAAGCAATCCAGTTTATTAATTCAGCACCAGTTTGTCCAGGTGGATTATTTTGAGCGCAAAGAGGGAGCTGATGAGCTCCTCTTCCACTCGTAGCTGGTCTGGCTATGGTTGAGACAAGGGAAGTGGCAGGATCATTAAGACATCATTATTTCACAGTAGGCACTTAAGTTCAATTCACTGCCTCTCCTAAAAGCCTTAGGTAATATATGCAAATAACACTTTACTCCTAGTAACATTTAAAATCCAACCACTGCCTCAGTTTTGAGCCAAGGAGCTTCCTTAGTTTCTGCTCCTAGCTATGTTTAGAAGCATTCAGTTTTCAAGATAAGCAAGGAGTGACCCAGCTTCAGGACTTTGGCTTTCAATGGGAAGTGGCCTCCTCACTGGGTTTAAGAAGCAGGCTCATATTTTCTTGTGCATTCTGGCTTCTTCATTCTTTTATTCTTGGTTGCGTAGTGAATTCTCTTTGCCCTGATGGCAATAAGCCCAATAAGCCTCGTGGCAAATCCTTGGACTCAACTGCCATATCCTGGAAGACAATGACCTAGAAACTAAGGCTTCTTAATTCCCATAGAAATGTCATTGATGCAGTCTTTCTCTTCCCTAGAGAAGTGCCATGTAAAATCTCACCCTGTTTCATAACTCAGATCATTACAGAATTCATGAGATTTTGAATCCTGAGAAAAAAAAGAAAAAAAAAAAAAACTTACTTTTTAGCAGCTTGTTAAAACTGTTTCATTGTGTTTTCCTGGAATTCCTCTACTTGCTGAAATTACGATAAATTGCAGAGGGCTGCTCTTAGTGGAGAGCCTTCTCCTTGTCAGTACAGGGTAAATGAGTTGTGCTAGGCTTACATCAACTCTTGCCATCAACTTCTCACAAACTATCTATGAAACAGCAAAATCTTCAGGCACTTTGTGGATCAAGCTCAGCAAATTCAAAAGCTCAGCTGAAACTCTAGGGTTAAAACTGCAGCTAACATCACTGTTCAAGCATAAAAGAATTTTGTACTAGAGATTTACACCTTCCCTTACCTAGGGACAGCTCTCTTGGGGATGTTACATTGATGATGGAACAAACTTCCTCAGGAACGTTCAACTGACCACAGCAAAACATGTTGGTTTTGAGCTTGCTCTCTGAAAGATAAACATACATCATTATTAAAAAGCAGGAACAGAAAAAAAAACCATAACAAATGTCTAACTATCTAACTAAACCAAATCACCGTATTAAAACATAACATTTCCCGTGAAGAAGGAATGAGTCCCACATGACGTATTTCAGCTTACTAAAGGCACAAAATAAGTACATTGAGTGATGAAATAGAAACAAGGTAATGTCTCATGCAATACTGCTGTATTGCAAAATGCCTGTAATACCACATTTGAAAAGATACAGATCTGCAAGTATGTCAGACTCACACAGTGTAGAAATTCAGAGGTTTTAAGGAAATAAAGGTACACAACCCACACAGTAAGATCACAAGTTGTGCTAATGATGCTTTGCCTTGAAGTGGGTTGCTCTGATATGGTCGCTATCTGTGTACAAATGGAATGACCAGTATTTTGCTCTAGTGAACTCTGAAGAAAAGAAAAGCCGTTTCCCTGGGCCCTACTGATAGCAAACAGGTTCTATTAGATGAAGAACCCTCTGTTTAATGGGAAATACACTGTAACTCAACTTTCTTTGTTAATGGGTTATATGGCATTTTTTCCTGTGAATATAGAGGAGCATTTTTGTTTGAAAAAATAAATCACCAGATCAGAGGATGAATGACAAATAAGAAGACTGGGAGTTTAGCTATGAACTATTCCTTGGGAAAGCTTGTGCTAGGCTGGGTAAGAACAAGTGAAAAAGAAATGCCTACTTAAATTTATTTGTGGAAAATAACAAGCTTTTACTTTTTAGGTTTTCTTCTTAGCTGCTGCAGCTGTGTACAAGAGTTTCTTGCTTTCTATTGAGCAGGTGTTGACTTTTGCTAATGGACTGTATAGCCATACTCTGTCAACACATCAGTGTAATTCAGTGTTTCAAGAAATGGACTGACTGAGACTTGGAGCCACGTTCAGAGACATTTCAATTCAAACCTCCAACTGTATTTAAGAAACCGTATCTAAAAGCTCCCATCCAAGAGACTGGAATGTGAAGCATGCAGGAAATGTTATCTTATTGGCCTCAAGTCTGCCAGTGATTGTGAAACAGCTTCATTATTCTGGGAAAAAATACAAACGCTGTTCTAGGCAATGAGAGATTCATGTAAACTTGTTAAACTTTTAGGGAATACAAATAATACGGAGTCTAGAGAATATCTTCAGTGCTCCATCACATGAAGATAAGATTGGTGTGAAAGACTGCCTTTTGTAAACACTTCCCATATGAAAATGCACCTAGAAGCATATACACCTAATACTTCTTGTTGGACCTATTTCTTAAAATGAGTTATTCTCAGTAGGTCTGCATTCACTGGAGATAACAGAGTACTCCCACAAAAATGTGTCACACAGGTGAGACACCAGAACAGGACGCTGAACCACAGTGCCCATGTTAATCTTGCACTGTAGCCTCTGGACTCAAAGCTGGGTGGTACCTCCACAGTGAAGCAGATGTGTACTGTGCTGCAATCTCATCTCTTGACTCAGCCCAACCAAAAAGCTTGGAAGCTCTCATCCAGCCTGTGGCCCTACCAGGGAAATGAGTAGAGTATTCCACACACATAGACCTAGAAATTCAATTCTGGGTACTTATCAGATCTTCATTTCAGTCACTCCTCAATGGCCCCAGAGTAGAGGGTGCATCCACTCTGCATAATGTGGTATTTGTGAAGAGATACTAACATTGGAACTAGAGTTGAAGGCTACCATACTTCTGTCCTGGATCTCCCAACATCCTTTTCCACAAAAGGGGCAGATACAAACATATTTCTCTTTCAGACCAGACATAAAGCAAGTAAGCAGTGAAATTTTTAGCTCAGAGAGTCATTGTAGGGCTTAAATGAAAGGAACTTATCTCTGGACATAATTTTAAACATTTCTTAATGTTTACACAAACAAGTAAAAGCTATGTTATTCTGTGGATCTATTTCCATTTCTGTGGTCTGATCTTTTCAGCCATGTTAGGATTAAATTTGAGCCACAAAAAACATGTCGAGTTCCATATCAACTACAAAATGCCAATACACAGAGCATTACGTATATGCTGGTTGCTGGCCAGCTGGCATTTTAAACAAGTAGTTCAGGGAAAAGCAATTTTGGTTGGGGATGACCACAGCTGGCTTCTCATTAGACTACATTTTCAAAATGTAATATTGCCAAGCCTCTGAAGTTTTAATGACTTATTTTAGACTTTCTCTGATTCAATAGCCTCATAAAATGAAGGGGGAAAAAAATGTAGCATGTCAACTCCCTGAGTATATAACTTTGTGCACTTCATTTACTTACTAAGTGTTTCTGTTCTACCACATCTATTTTTTGCACAGTGGTTTGAATGTCATCCTTACTCTTGCCACATAGTAAGTGTGGTAGCTGAAATGCCTGCTTGAACAGATGTGACCCCTACATAATGTAAACACTGCCGAATGTTGCCTCTTAGCCTTTGGAAGACCACTAAATCATCATAAATCTGCAAAGAATAAAGTGACAATACAGTATAACTAAGCTTGTAGTCCATTAAGAAATGGTCCAGAGTTGTCAGAAAGCAGCAGCAATTGATTAAAAGACCCTTCCTTCTGATTTCTCACTTTCACTTCCAGATATATTGGAGTTTATACAAGAAACATTCTCAGTGATTTAAAGCTTAAAAATGTTAATTGAAAGGCAATTATAAATCACCATTTTTCAGTAGAGATTCCAGCATCATTCCCAGCTTCAGCTCAGGATACATTACATCATTCTTTAGGAAAAAAGGGACTAGGCTATTTGAAACTGACTTGAACTTGTCAAACAAAATACAGTGTTTATAAATAGATTAGGTTGCTCTAAATTTAACATAATGTTCTTGTTCTGTACAGGTCTTTTGGTAAGTGATTAAACACTGGAAGAAAACCACAACTGTTTCCTTTAGAGATTTGTTCAGAAACGGTTTAGTACAGACTTGGATGCATCATTTACTAATTACTTCTGGTGAGCAATAATGTTTAGATGGCTTCCAAACAATACTTTCCTCTCCTACACACTTTATTACTTCAAATGTTAATTGATCCTTTCAAACTGTAAAGGAGATTCTGGAAAAAACATTGTCCTCTTCAACAGACTTATAAGGAAACAGTAGAGCCTTTCAAAAAATTAGTAACAAAGTTGTGACACAAACTCAGACAGTTTTAGCTCAGCACTTTGCTGAGGTCTTCTGTCCAAAAGGACAGGAAAAAAAAAATCTCAATAATATATATTAAAATACATCACAAATACATTCAGAAGAGACACACGGTAACTAAGAAAGTAATTACAACCAAAATATGTAAATTGTTAATAGTTAATTATTAAAGTGTGGCATATAATTTACTTTCCTAACACTGCATCATAGGAATGTGCAAAAAAATGGTACATCATGATGAACATAGTGATGCAGAGTTTTAAATATGAGTTTTCCTAACTTTTGAATGTTTGACTGCTGACCTTCTAATATTCTTACTCCAAAACTCTATCACATAACATGAGCACAGTGGAAGCCACTGATTTGGAAAGTTACTGATGCAAACACACTGTCAAGGTTCACAAAATATGCACTCTTTCCTGTTCTGGCTAAACCACAAAAACTTCACAAACAAATGTAACATCAATGCTCATGTGGACGGGCACCTCAAGAACAAGCAGGTGAAGAAGACCTATCCTCCTACTAGCCATCCAGCCCATTGTTCCTCCAAGAGGGTGCCTCCTGTAGCTTCAGGAAGAAGCTGGCTGAACACTGGGCAAGATTTTTGCCTCCTCCCAAAGATGCAGTGTCAGTGCATCCTCAGGTAAGGTAATGTAGTATATCTGGAACAATTTTTGACCTTTTCCTAAAGTGGATCACAATATTTTTCTGACTATCTCAGTAGCTTTCTTGAGAAAGTAATATCAGGAAAACAGCACAACAGACTTCTCAGTTTCTGCAAGTTCATCAGGAACAGAGTCAGAGGCCAATGCTCTCTGACTAGATTCTTTTGGTTATTTCTCATGGAGAGGTTAATACCACATTTACACATTTGATGACATTTGGCGTTACATAGGATTTTGATTTAGCAGAGAGATACAGCAACGTGTTAAAATCACCACACAAGCACAATATAGCAGTTGCAACATACATTTGGATCACAATGCAAATGTGGTTCTCATTTCCAGGTTTTATACACTCACTATCATGACACAAAATATTCCCAACAGAAAGGGATGCATGGCATGAAGCCAGTTCAGAAGAGTTGCCCTTTAAGTTCACTTCACTGATTGCTCAATTTTATACTCTATCCTGGGTCTGAGCCATGTACACGCATTCCTCATTACTGGTCTGGTTACCTCAGGAAGACATTCCGTCTCTTGATTAACTCAGGGAAAACTGTGGACCAGTTGATCCACTCAACCAATACAGTAATTTACCTGAAACAAAGGCCACCCTCCATTTCCCTTAAGTTCAGCTGTGGTCACTCCCTACCTTTTTCAGAGAGCTTCACGAGCACATCGTCTTTGCCTGTCTCCACTGAGCATTCTTCCCAGCGTAGGTTTGTGTCCATCAGTCACAAGCATATGATGTGAAAGAGTTCTTAGGAGATGATCAGAAATTGCTCTATAGACAACAGCAAGCAAATACTTGAAATACCATAATTCCTCTAGTGCCATGAGGCTAATTCCAAAGGGTAAAAAGAGATTTTGGAAGTTATGCTGGGGGATGGGGAACAGGGAGAAGAGAAAGCCTGTTCCCCTGTCCAGAGCATTAGAAGTTTTTTTCTAAAATGAGGAAGAAAAGTAATTACATGGAATCTTTTCCCCTTTTTCTCCCTTTCTTTTTCCATTTCTACTTAATAAAAATTTAACATGATCATGACTCAGACAAACTATGCTTGGCCTTCATAAGCACAATCTGCCCCATTTCCTGCAGCTAGCAGGAGATATCAGACTTCTACCTGTGGCTGAACAATGCCTGCTACGTTTAGCTTCAGAGGTCTGAAATGGATTGCCTGGACTCACTTCACTCTTCTCCCAGTTTTCAGAAAGCTTGATTTCTGCACTACAGGATCTCCTTACACAGAACACTAAGAGCAGAATCTTACTTTGATTTGTGCTTATAGAGCAGCTTGCCCAGAGGAAAGAGGAACAGCACAATACTCATGCTCTCCCCCTTTTGCTGAAGTTGGGATTGTTGGAACATTTTGGTATTTAGATCTACATCCAAAAGAAAATATGCAAACAAAGTATTTTGATTTGGATGAAAACAAATTAAAAACTTCCCATCTCTTGCCAAATAAAGCAAAAAACAGAAGGTGGATGGAACATGTGAAGGTTTTCCATGAAATAATAATAAAACAACCACTACTGTTTTTGAAATGTATTTTTAGGAAAGGCAAAAGACTAGAAAGTTGAGGAAGCTTTTGGACAGTAGTTGTAATCTTGCTCAGTAATTCAGTGAATTTTAGACTCGTTGCCCAGGGCTCAGGAGTTCCAAGCCTATCTTCTCCTCCTGAATGTGGCAGTTTGATTTTCTTGCCTTCCAGAAAAGGATTTGAACCACTTGCCCATGGGATATATGTTGGATTTTCACTTTCTTCAGCTGCAGGTTTTTTGTTCTTGCCTATTCTTTTCAGTCAAAAGATGATAAAAATAACACCTTAGTGTACTGCTAGGAGCCTTAAGATGATGTGGTCACAAGAATCAAGATTAAGTTCAGCTCTTAAGCTACATGGATCTGCACTTCTGCTCTAGATGAAGGAATCATAGTATCATTAAGGCTGGAAAAGACCACTAAGATCATCTAGTCCAACTGTCAATCCATCACCACCATGCCCACTAAACCATTTCCCACTCTTGCAAAGCATCAGACATCAGACTTCGAGCTTTCAGACTTCCAGCTTTTCATCATCTGCATGTCTAACCACATAAAGCAGAAATGTAAAAGTAGAAGAGCAGAAGTTTGTACGCATTTTTACACAGCTGAAGGTCCAGAGGTGTGGACCTCTCAGGCATGAAAGGAATTGAACGCAGCTCTACCAGATCAAGAATTAGTAGGTCTAAAGAGACCTTTAACAATTTTTTTTCATTCCAGACTCGTTTTAATAACCACAAGTATAGATCCAATTTACATCTGATTTCCAGCTTTTTTTTCAGAAAATCTTTTTCAGAAACTCAGTATTTTTCTCAACTAAATTCCTCCATGCCTGGCATTATGCTGATATACAAGAACACATTATACAGTGATTACAGAAGAATATCTGATGGTTCAAGAAATAATTATAGGGAACTGAACCAAAGGACAGATGTTTTATAAGTTTCTCTGTGATAAACATGAGCAGGTAATGTAATAATGTGTATATATATATATATATATATATATATATATATATATCCTGAATAGTAATTCTCATGTCCTTTTTTCCCCATCTTCTATTTGAGAGAATATTAACGCAATGGTCTTGCTCAAACCTAAATATTGTTATTCTCCTGCATTGTTATCAAGTTAATTAGGGAATAGGGCATTTCTCCCACTTCAGTACTTCCATCTGTTTCTGGTTTACCAGTTTTGTGTATTACAAAAATGTGCCAGACAGCAGCATCATCCAATATGTTTTGTGTTCACAGTATATATATGAAAGATGGTTTAGTAACAGCAATTAAGCATTTACTAGCCTTCATTTTAGCTCAATATTTCTTTTGTGGAGAGGAAATGCTCCAGCTCCTGCAAAACTGTCACAGCAACTGCAGCATGCATATGGCATAAGGAAAACTGCATTTCAGACTCCCACTGGAGCCTGCCAATGAAATTGTTAAAGGCTAAAATCCTGATTCATCTGAAACAGTCTTGTTTGCATTATTACGTTCCTATAAGTTAAAAAAAATATATCAAGATTACATCATGCTATGCCTTGTCCAAATATTTAGTCAAAGGCAGCCACCAAAACCAAAGAGTTTATACTCAACGTGGACAAGAGAAAGAGTAGAAGAGTGCATGCCAGGCAGGGAGAAGCCAGAAAACAGATTTCTTCCAGTAACCAAGTCATTTAAGGCATTGTCTGAATCTCAAGACATTGCTCTAGTGGCAGAAACATGCAGCTAACTGCAGTGCTAACACAGCTTCAAAAAAACCAAAAAGCTTTCTGAAGGAGAAACACATGAGAAATATGGTTAATTGCTACATGACAAACAAACAAAGAGTATGCTGCCATTCATAAGGCCGGATGAAATGACTACCCAAATCATTATTGCTGTAGATAAAGGACAACACACCTATGTAAAAATAGTAATCAATGGATTCCTGGAATTATTTTTCCCTGTCGCAGTTTTACCAATAGTTTTCTGTCACAGGTAAAATGGGGCATCAGAATGAAGCACAATATTTCACAAGATACAGCACAGTTATATTGTCACATGCAGAAGCAGAGGAAATACCTGCATATCTCACAAGGCAGGTTACACTGAAGAAATCAGGTGACAGAACAGAGAACTGCTGGGAAGCAGGCACAGTTCTGAAACAAGAAGCACTTCTATTCTTTGTGTTTTAATACTTTCCTTCTTTTTCATTTCTATCACCTCAGCACTGAGAAATATATCACACGGCCCAAGAATTATCACATTTCTGGCTCATACAGAATACTAAAATGCTCATGGAATTAGATTGCATGGTGTACTTTATCAGCTGATAAAACACAAGAAGAAGCCTGATGTTCAGTTT